AACCAGTAAACCAGGACTGGGTGGTTCAGTGTCTAATCTGAACCAGTAAACCAGGACTGGATGGTTCAGTGTTTAATCTGAACCAGTAAACCAGGACTGGGTGGTTCAGTGTCTAATCTAAACCAGTAAACCAGGACTGGAGTCAATGACAGAGTGTTCTTCCTGAAGGGGGCGGGGCCAGCAGCAGGGGGTGGGGCCAGCTAAACCAGGATTCTACAGTTATGGAGAAATCAACCATCTGTGGGGTTCGGAGCTGAAAAACATTGTGTGGACGTGAGATTTCTTAATTTAATAAAAACAAAAACGAGGCTCAATATGGGAGCTTTAGCCACATTATGCTAAACTCTGGCTAACATGCATGTTAGGTAATGTGCCCACACCAACGTGGCATCATCAGCACCGATTGAGTTCATGTGTCATAACGTCTTGATCCCGTGATTCTTCCAGAACAAATCCGCCTGAAGAGCCTGCGGAGGGTCCATGGCCGGTGTCTGTGGTACCGGCTCCGGCTGATGAAGTCTCAGCAGAGCATCGTTCCAACACTAAAGTGAGTCCAGCGAGCCGACTTTGCTTTGTTGTGTAAATAAAAGTCGTGGGAGGCGAATGTTGTCGAGACGCGACTTCCGTTTTTTTGTTTTGTTTTGTTTTTAAAAATTGCTTCCAAGCAGCTCTCTGGAAGTTGATTAGACTCATGTTGAGCTGATTGGACTCATGAATTATTCAATTATGTTGATACGAGCACAGCTTCAGGTTCGTATGAATATCCTGACGTGTGATTGGCTGAAACTTCAGTATTGGAAAAAAATCTGACACTACATGTTGTGCTGTGACTTGAACAGCTCGGTGTGTTGTGGCTTTCTGATTTAAATGGTTGAGCTGATTGTTGGCTCATGTGGTGGCAACTTCTGCAGACAGAGAACCTGTTTCTGGTCAAAATCATCTGTTTTGGATCTGAAATATTTCCTAAAACTGAATTCTTTCTGCAACCAAATGTTCCTCTCTCCTCATGTTCAGCTGCAGGTGGAACTGCAACTGGACGTCTTTTAAATAAAGTTTTAAAAAACACTTAAAGAAGCTTTAAATCAGAGTAATTTGTGTTCTGTCTTGTAGATTAATCATGAGAAGATGCAGCAGGATGTGTTTCAGTTCATTCTCCTCACCGTCGACATCTGATTGTCTTTTTCTAACTTTTTGTTTGCTGTTTGCTGCTTCGTTCTCACCGTTGCTGTAGTCTGACTGTGTTTTACTGAAGCTCCGTCGTCCTCCTGACATGAAGCTTCAGTCGGTCGGTTCCAGCTGGACAGACGTTGTCAGTCTGGTGTTAATCACAGGTCAGCTTCTCTGCTTCTCGGGTTCGGGCCTCTCTGTTCTGCAGCTGTAAACATTTCTCTTCACATCAGCCTGTTTACTTGCGCTGTGCTTGAACAGCTGTTTGACTCTCCGTCCTGTGTTTACTCTCGACATTTAACGAGCCCGGTTTATAAATTCTCCGTGATGTGAAGCCGGATGAAGCTGGCGTTCGTCAGGAATCGTCTCCGCTGCTCTCGGCGTCTCGTTTCCTCCTCAGAGATGCTGTTTATTGCGGGGATCCATCATGTGTTTTTCTGGTTGAGCAACTTGGACAACTTGGGCCGAGTGAGCAGTTGTCATGGCAACAGATGCTGCAGAGCAGGCCATAGGTTTTTTTTTTTTTTTGCCATTGTCATGGAAACAGGTTGAACTTCAGTGCATAAATACCAAACAACAACAACAGCAGCAGCCGCCGCAGCAGTGTGAGCGCCTGAGCTGCCCTCCTGCTCCTGTTGTCGGATGTTTGTAGCTGCAGGAGTGTTTTTATGACCGAACGCAGCGCTGACGTTTATCCGTGTGACGTTTTTTGTTGTGTTTGCAGGAAAGCAGCCTTGTTGTTCGGGTGGGCTGTGTTCCTGCTGCTAGCGTACAAGGTGTCCAAGCTGGACCGAGAGTACCAGGAGTATAACCCCTATGAAGTCCTCAACCTGGACCCGGTAAACGCACAAAACACACACATCCTACCGAGACACTCGCGTTCTGGAAGCTTCTGTATGTTTACTGTGTCAGGCTGAGAGGTGACGTCTGTGTTTAACAAGCAGCTGGACTTCCAGGATTAAAGATGAAACCTAATTTACTCGGTGACTAAATGTGGTTTGTTGTGTCTTCAGGGTGCGTCGCTGTCAGAAATCAAGAAGCAATATCGTGTTCTGTCTCTCAAATACCATCCAGACAAAGGTGGAGATGAGGCCACGTTCATGAGGATTGCCAAAGCTTATGCTGCGTAAGTTTGAATCACGCTCAAACCCATCATTTCCCTCTGTTTCTGGAGTTACTGATCTGTTCTCTTTTTTTTCTTTTTTTTCTATGCAGTCTGACCAACGAACTGTCGCGGACGAACTGGGAGACCTACGGGAACCCAGACGGTCCCGGAGGTGAGACGTTTCATGCTCTCAGCAGGTTTCTGCATGTTTGGGTGTTGACACGTGTTGTGTGTCGATGCTGGTGACTCAGAGTCTGCAGACACGAACGCGTTACGATGAAACGTTCGCTGAGAGCCGACAGGAAACGATGTGAGGCTCCAGAATCCATGTTTTACTGTCGGAGCTGCAGAGAACCAACGAACGTGTTGGTGGACTGAAACTAAAGCTTTGTTACGGCGATAAAACGTCTGTTCGAGTCAGTTTTCATCTCTTTGTGGCCATTTTGCATCTTTTCTAGTCAGTTTTAGGCTCTTTTGTGTTGTTTTGTGTGATATTTGTGGCCATTTTGCAGCTTTTTTTTCATTGATTTGTTTCTGAGTTTAGTTGTTTTGTGCGTTTGCAGCCTTTTTGCATCTTGTAGTGGTTGTTTTTGTGTATCTCAGAGGCAGTTTTATCTTTGTTTGCACTGAATCAACGTCTGTTTGTGTTCATTTTGCATCTTTTTTTAATCGGTTTGCGTCTCTTTGTGGTGGTTTTGTGACTCTTTGCAGCTAATTTCGCTCCTATAGGGATGTTTTGTGTCTCTGAGAGGTGTTTTTATCAGTTTGCACCGAATCAGCATCTGTTTGGGTTCATTTTGCATCTCGTTCTAATTGGTTTTGTGCGTCTTTATTGTTGGTCTTCATGGTACTTATTTTAAGTATTTTTTAGTCTTTGTGGAAGTTCTTCCTTATTTTGCATCAGCTTTCGTTCATTTTGCATCCCTTTAAGTCAGTTTTAAGCTCTTTTGTGTTGTTTTGTGTGATATTTGTGGCCATTTTGCATCTTTTTTTCATTGATTTGTATGAAAGTTTAGTTGTTTTGTGCGTTTGCAGCCATTTTGCATCTTGTAGTGGTTGTTTTTGAGGCAGTTTTATCTCTGTTTGCACTGAATCAGCATCTGTCTGTGTTCATTTTGCGCCTCTTTGTATTTGGTTCTGTCTTTTTCTGGTGTTCTTGTTGCTGCTTGTTCGCTCTCAGTGTTCGCTTGGATTATTTTTTGTCTCTGTTTGCACTGGTTTTGCAGCTGTTTGTGGTCATTTTGTGTCTGTTTCTGGTTGTTCAACTTGGTGTCGGTTACTTTGAGGTTCTCTGTTTCTTCTCAGAAATATGGATTAATGTCAGAAGGACGTTGCTGTAGAACTTTACGACAGTAATAATGAAGGCAGATGGACAAACCTGGAAACTAAAAACCTTCATACGGACAAAATTACATGTTTATTCAGATTCATCCAGTTTCAAGTCTGTCAGCTGAAACGGTACATTTTCAACACAGAGCTAATAGATAATGTAATAAGGATAAATCTTTGTGTAGCGGAGTGCTTTCACTGCAGGATTTATTAACCCTTTGCCTGCTGTGTTTTCCTCTACAGCCACCAGCTTCGGCATCGCTCTGCCGGCCTGGATCGTCGACCAGAAGAACTCGATGCTGGTACGGATCCTCCAATTATGTCCTCGTAGCTTTAACTGATTAACTTTGTTTTTTTAGTGTTTTGTATCCTGAACCTTGTATTCATGCTGTTGCAGGTCAGATTTAAAGCTCGATTTGTTCTGTTTTCTGTTCGTAGGTTCTGCTGGTGTACGGACTCGCCTTCATGGTCATCCTTCCTGTGGTTGTGGTGAGTTTCAGCCGCGGTTTCACACCACACACCGCTTCTCTTTCACGTCTGCGGTTTCTCACTTTTCTCTCTGTTTCCTGTGTTTTTAGGGCACGTGGTGGTACCGCTCGATCCGGTACAGCGGAGACCAGATCCTCATCAACACTACGCAGCTCTTCATGCATTTCATGTACAAGACGCCCAACATGAACATGAAGCGTGAGTTCCTGCTTCGCTCGCCGCGCTCAAGTAAAGCGGCTCCTCGGCATGTTTAGTGAAGCCGACACCGCGGTGCAGAGAGTGTTTGTGGTGATTCTGGAGATGATTCTGTGGAGCTGCAGACTCGTGAACGTTTGTGTGACATTGAACTCGTGTCTCGCTGTTTTTGTTCGACTGACTTTGACTCTGTGCGTCCTCCAGGGTTAGCCATGGTGCTGACGGCTGCCTTCGAGTTCGACCCTCGCAGCAATAAAGAAGCAACGATCAGACCCACGGACAACATCGAAGTGCCGCAGGTAGAAAAACGTCCTTCTGCTTCGGTGGAGAAAATAGAAATTTAAGTTGTTGTTTTTTTTAGATATAGAACATTCCTCGTTGTCCAAACCTTTTCTGTCTCTGAGAAAAACACTTTAGGAAAAGATTCCCAGAGGAACTATTGATCCAAACAAATACAATCCTGTCACAGCCGTCTCTTAGAAACTTCCTCTCTCTGCCGTCGGACTCTTGAAGCATTTCTTTAAGCTGTTTTTGATCATAACATCTGCTTGTTTGTTAGTTTTTCTCGCCGGTTCATTTCTTCAGTAAACACAATAAGAGGAGACGCTATCGGCTCTGAATTAATTTCTTCTTATTCACCAAAAGCACTCTGAACACATAAACTCCCGACAGACACGAACTCGTTAACTGCACGTTTCTCATTAGACAACCAAACCCGATGTGGTGAACGTCAAGGTTCTGATAATATTCTGGGCTGTGCGGCGTCTTTAAAACTCTCTCGACTCTCTTTTGCAGTTGATCCGTGAGTTGGGAAACATCAACGTGAAGAAGAAGGAGCCTCCGTTCTGTTATCCCTACAGTCTGAAGGCCAGAGTCCTGGTTCTGGCTCACCTGGCTCGGATGGACGTGTCCGAGGAGTTGGAGGAAGGTAGGAAACTCTAAATTATACGAGTGTGCTGTTTGAAATGTTATGAAGATGAAATTTATAAAAAGATTGTCGTTTTTCTGGCGTATCTGGTGAAACATTTTAAAAGATGAAGGCTGCAGAAAATTAATTATCTGTAGCCTTGATGTCGGTTGTATTCACATTAGTTTTGCATGTTAACATGATGCAGCAAATCCAGCAAAGTGTCTCCTTGTTGACAGGCCAACCCACGTGGGCATATTTACAGGATATAACCATGTGTATCCTGAAGAAAACAAATGATTTTGTCTAAAATGACCCAAAAAAAGTGTCAAAAATGACTCAGAATTTACCCAGAATGGTTCAGTTGTTGTCCAAAAAGGAAAAAAAAAGGTGCAAAATGACTCAAGAATCATTTAATATTTGTAAAAATTGAACCAAAATGTCCCGGATTTGTCCAAATTCATACAAACTTACCTGAGATTAACCCACATTTGTACATAATAACTGAGAAATTAAACATTGCTTCATAAAGGAAAGAAAACTCGTCTGAAATGAGATCAAATTGTCTAAAATGAGAAAAAATAACGACTCAGATTGTCCAAGCTAACTCAAACACTAGCAGGACTTTGCAGTGCAGTAAAAATGAGCCCACGGTGAGTTAAAAAAAATAAAGATAAAAAACTCAAACAGAAACAAGCAGGTGGATGTTGATGAAGACAGGCGGTAACCTGCTGGTTGGTCTCTGGGTGGTAACCATGGTAACCACAGACCCTCCTCTGGTCACCGTGACGATCCTCCACTCGCGGGTCGATCGTTGCCTGCAACCCAGAAGCGCCCTGACGATTTCTGAACCACCGCGGCGATGAACGGTCTCAGAACTTTCTGATCAAACCTGGATTCTCTGTAACGGCGACAGAAATGGGCCGGAAGCTGTTTCATTAGAGTTCCAGATGTGTGAAGTCAGACGGCGACGCGAGCTGTTTGGAGCTAAATTAAAACTAAAACACACACACAGACACGTAGAGTTTGTTCTCCTGTAGGGACGTGGTTTACACCCTGAACCAACACCAGCTGCTGCTGCTGCAAGACGTTTACGTGTTTTTGGTCTCGGCGTTAATCAGCTGAGGTTTGACTCACAGACGAGTGAAGATCGGGAGCGAAACATGACGTCATTAGTTTAGTTACGTCAGCAGAACGGTGGACACCATCCCAGTCCTGGATGAACACACCCTTACTTTCATATGTGCTTCGTTCTCAACACGCTGGAAGGTTTAATTGATTACAGGTGTTGGATTTCAAGGCTGTGATTAATGAATTATCTGCATAATTAGTCTATTTTTGTTAAGTTGGAGCAATCCTCTTAAGAAACATGATGCAGGTGTGTTATTTAGAACTTAAAAAGAGTCTAAATTCAGTGATTTCAGCTTCTTCAGTGTGAACGTTTTCTGGTTTCTTTCCTCTGTGACAGTAAACTGAAGATCTTTGGACGAAACAAGACTTTTGAGGAAACTCTGATCCACATTTTTCACCTTTTTTCTGACCTTTTAGAGCCCAAACAGCTGATTAATTCATCATCAGTAAAACTAGTAGCAGCTCCACAGATGTTGTTGTGTGTGTTTGTGTTGCAGATCAGAGGTTTGTGGTGAGGAAGAGTCCTGCTCTCCTCCAGGAGATGATCAACGTGGGCTGTCAGCTCACCATGATGGCCAACAGCCGAGGAGGTAAACATCCGCATACGTGTCGTTCTGCTGGTAATAAAATCGTCTCATTGTGAGAAACACGAAGGCCGCTTTCCTCTGACGGCTTCGTCACGCCTCCCCTCAGGTTTCCACGCTCCTCGTCTGGTCACCATCGAGAACTGCATGAAGCTGACCCAGATGATAGTTCAGGGCCTGCAGGAGTCCAAGTCGCCGCTGCTGCAGCTGCCGCACTTCGAGGAGGAACACCTCCGATACTGCATCTCCAAGAAGGTCCGTCCGTGTTCATGAGAGAGTAAAGCTCCTGCAGATTCAGAACCAGATGTTCTGAGGAGGTTCTGGAGAAGCTTTAGTTTTATTTAACCAGTGCTGATCCTCCAGTGCAGGCGGTGGTTCTGTACGTCGCTGTATATGTATTTTATGTGTATATAAATGTGATGTTCTGACCCTGGTCCTCCTCTGCAGTACAAAGTCCGAAGCCTCCAGGACCTGGTGAGCCTGAAGGACTCGGACCGGCGCTCGATGCTGCGTTTCCTCGGGGAGGAGAAATACGACGAGGTCATGGCCGTGCTGGGCAGCTTCCCCCACATCACCATGGACACCAAGCTGCAAGGTCGGTCCTGGAGGTTCTGTTGGACCGCCGGCAGACCAGCAGCCGCTCCGTCTGCAGCTTTAAGTGTTGGGAAGGGAAAAGCTTTTACCATAAGAACCGCTAAAAGGCTAAAATACACGTTTAGGATTTAATCTGAAAGTTGTACTTTGTTTAGCATGAAGCTGAACTACATCAGCTCACACGTGGTTCATCAAACCTCTGGTCTGTGGTCAGTGATGTGTTCTTAACAATAACTGGGACGTTCTTTACACCTGTGTGAAGGTTCAGACCTGCAGCTGCAACCTGATGGTAAAACGTAGAGAAACACATCAGTAGTGACATTAACGTTTAAGCTAAGCTGCCACCTGGTGGACGTTCGGAGGTTCAGACCAAACATGGACCGTTTGGTTCATCTTTTTATTATTATTAAACGCTCCTGTCTCATGTTCCTTCACTCTAATGTTGCCTCCACAGTCTATAGATATTCAACAGACTTATTTTTGGAGAATTTTTGAGTGAGACATGTAGAATAAAGTTATTTTTGTGTAATTAAATGTGACTTTAGGCTTATATTTGGTTAATTTTTCAAACAGGATGTCTCACGTGATTAGTTTCAGTGTTCGTTTTTAAAACTTCTGGCTGATAAATTGCATATTTTTGATCTTTTTTTTTTCTTGCTGATCTCCAAAATGGAGGATTTTACTTTAATATAACAGCTTAACGCCTCCATATGAACTAAACTCAAAGGTTCCACATCGATGTTGTTGCTGTCATTGAGGAGACGTCGTGTGTGATGAACCTGATGAACTTATTGATGCTTTTAATTTGGCACTTTTCTGCCCCGTTGTTGTTTTTACAAACTGATCAAACTTAATCCGTTGCAGGGCTGAACTGCTCACCAGTTCTGATGAGCGCTTTTATTTAGTTTTCATGTCTGTTTCCTACATTTAGACCCTAAAACCACCTTTGTCTCTCTCTCTGTGTCTCTGCAGTCCTGGACGACGAAGACAGCAACAACATCACAGCCGGCTCCATCGTCACAGTAACCGTCACCTTAACCAGGAAACGGATGGCGGTAAGGACTGAAAACACCGTCACAGGACAACTTGTGGGAATGATTTATTACGGTGCTGTTGTGTTTGTGCACTTCCACTGATGACCAGCAGGGTTCGCTGTTGACTGTCTGTGTGGTTAGTTGGTTAGTTAACAGCATCGTTTAACTGTGTCTGTGGTTGCAGGACATGTTTGAAAAAGAGCAGGAGTCCACGCCGTGTCTAGGAGAGGAAGCCGCCGCCACAGAGGAAGCAGTAAGTAGAGCACACCTAAATACAAATAAGATGTGTTGTGAAAACACACTCGGTCCGTTCATTTAAACTTTATCTGCTTTACAGCAAGGAGACACGAGTAAAGCCAAAACCAAAGTGTGGCAGAACAAGAGTAAAGGCGCCAAGAAGACAGCCAAGTCCAAGAAGAAAAAGTTAACCAAGAAGAAGGCGACTCCTGCTCCGGCCAAAGCCAAGCAGGCCAACGGCAACGTGGCGGGAAACGTAAGAGCTCGCTCACCTGTTCTCACCTGTTCTCACCTGAGCCAGCGCTGCTTCACACACAGCTACAGGTGGAGTCTGGAGAGAGGCGGCTGATCTCTAGATGGTTAACGTATCCCAGGTTCATGATGCTGTGCAGCTACAGTCACATTTACAAACATTGGGTTTGTTTGACAGCGAGCAAACCCTGAGGAAGCAATTTATATGGCCAGCTGTTAAAGATACACAACATGGTAGCAAAGATGCACAAAACGACTGCAAAAAGATGCAAAATGAGCACAAAGAGACACAAAACGACTGCAAAATGATGCAGAACAACTGCAAAGATCAACAAAACGACTGCAAAAAGATGCAAGATGAGCACATATAGACAAAACAGCAGAAAAGATGTGCAGAACGACCACAAAGAGTCACAAAACGACTGCAAAGATATGCAAAACGACTGCAAAATGAGCAAAAGATGCACAAAACGACTGCAAAAAGATGCAAAATGAGCACAAAGATGCACAAAACGACTGCAAAAAGATGCAAAATGAGCACAAAGATGCACAAAACGACTGCAAAATGATGCAAAACAACTGCAAAGAGACACAATCTGACTAGAAAAGGACAGTAGGGACACACAGAATGATGGACACACAAAACAACTACAGAGAGACACCAAACCGATCAGAGTGACGTTCTAGAAATCAGGAATAAAAACTGACTAGTCATAGCTGTTGTTTCAACTCCCATCAGTCAAGATTCAGCTTTATTAGACATTAACAGTCACATTGTTATTACAACAATCACTGCTGGTTTCAACGTCTGTCCTTGTTTCCGGTGTCGCAGGAGGTCGTAGCTGCGACGACGACGACGACGGCGGTGGCGACGAAGGAGGAAGAAGACGACGCCTCCGACAAAGGCAGCGAGTCGGACGAGGGCGAAGCCAACAAGGACTCTCCGAGCGAGAGGGACGAGGACAGCGACAAGCAGAGCGACACGGAGGTGGACGAGATGGCCGGAGACGACGAGGAGGTCAGAGGTTTGAACACGCAGCGCGTCTTAACGCAGCCTGCGCACCGCTAAACTAACCCGTGTGTCCGCCTGCAGGAGTGGGAGGCGCTGCAGCAGAGCATCCAGCGCAGGGAGCGGGCGCTGCTGGAGACCAAGTCCAAGGTGACGCACCCCGTCTACAGCCTGTACTTCCCCGAGGAGAAGCAGGAGTGGTGGTGGCTGTACATCGCTGACCGCCGGGACCAGACGCTGGTGTCCATGCCCTACCACGTCTGCACACTAAAGGACACCGAGGAGGTGGGTAGGAGGGAGGAGGGAGGAAGTAGGTGGAGGAGGAGTAGTGGAGTATGTTAAGGAAGAGGTAGGAGACACCTTGAGACACAGGTGTAGGTCTGAGGGGAGGCAGGAGAGACATGAAAACCACGTCAGCAGATCAGATATGTGATTGTTTTTAATCGGTTGTTAACGAGCAGAAATCCTGCTGGAACACATTTATAAAATAAATCATTGATTCATTTACGTCTATGAACAACAAACAGGTGTCTTGTTTTAAAATTCACCAAAATTACAATGTTTATCAGCCAGAAACTGTGTAAAAAAAAAAAAGATTATTGTCACATTTTCCTTCAACGAATCGTCCCTAACGTGCCGTTCTGCAGAACAATTAACCAAACAAGAGTTAAAAATAATAGATTTGATTAAAACCACTTTATTCTACGTTTCTGTTGTAGAAAATCTCCAAAAATAAACTTTGACTTTCTATTGTAAATATTATTTTTGTCTCAAAATTCAGATTTCTTTACATCTATAGTTCTGATTTTTTAAATCTCCAATAATAAAAATTAATAGTAATTTTCTGAAAATTCTCTAAATAATAGTTCAGATTTTTTTCTCTTATATTTCTCAGATTTCATAATTATGACTTTCTATCCCAGAATTTTACCCACTCATCTGTGTTTTTGAGTCTTTATTTTATAATTTTGACTTTTTATTTGCAGCCTTTTATCCTGTAATTCTACATTTATTGTTCTTAACTGCAGCACCAGAAGAGTAAATACTGTTGGATCAGGAGGATTAATATTCACTGAGCTGATCTAAAGGAGAGTAAAGAACAGAAAACCTGAGAGCCTCACTAACTGGTGCTTACTTAAATGAAGACTCTGTCACCATAAACTGGTGCAGAAAAATGGGACTCTTTGGTTCAGTCAATAAAGTGGCTTTGGTTTGGCAACTGTCTTAATTTTCCCATGAAGAACTCAGTCCTCTAACAGCATCTAGTGTCCAAACAGAAGAGCTCAAAGTAAATCCAGCTGATAAAAGCAGGAACTCCTTCTGTGCTGACGATCAGAGTGAATGAATCGGTGACGGGATGTTGCGACTGTCCAGGAACCCGTCTCTGTGGTCGCCGTACATCCTGTTGCCAGGCGACCCTGTCATTTCGTCCTCCGAGTGTTTGCTTCGCTCAGCTGGAACCTCTGATCCGCCGGCGTGCAGCAGCAGAGCCGGAGGCCTAATGAGGCCGGCGCAGGTCTGGAGGAACGGCGGCGACCCGTCACGCTCGGCCAAACGTTAATTATGTGTCGCGTGACGGCGTGTTTCTGGGAGGGTTTACCTTCATCGACAAGCAGGGCGGCTGGTGTTCGCCCTCGGCTCACGCGCTGAATAATAATCAGCCCGACCGCGCCGCTAATTGGATGTTTGCCGACTGTAATTGTCCATCACAGCCGGAGGCGCTTCAATGTGTAAACTCGTTCATCACGTTTGATCTGCTGACAGAAACGGTGACGACTGAGAGGACGGTTGTGTTTGTATCAGTTATGTTTGGTTTGTAAAGGGGACAAACACGGTGAGGCCTGTAAAATTATTGTCTTTTAATGATGCCGTTATTATATTAGCATCAACAACAAGTCAGTCGTAACTACGAACCGACAGGCAGCAGCGCTATCAATCATCAATCACCAGTCGATTGATCGTTAACGTGACTTAAGTACAGCGGACGTTGTTGATATGCTGATGGGTTTTTTTAGAAACGGGGACATCGGACTTCTGCAGCAGAAAACGGTTTGATTAAATCATCCGCTCGGCTTTGGGCTGTTCTTCGAGTAGATTGTTAACATGAGCTCTCATCGGAGCTCATTAACCTCCTCAGAGTCTCTGTCATGGTCCTAAACTCCCACAACATGAGCTGTAGTCTGAGCGACGCCTCCTCTGGTCTCTACAGGATTAAACAGAAAGAGGCTCCTCCTGGTGGACCAACCAGGTACTGCAGCTGGTCTGTGATACGTCTGCTGACATCATGAACTTCTTCTTCAGTCTTATCGATTAATATGTCTCCAATCTGTTGACTTAAAAATCAGTTAATCAATAATAACTAACAATGTGTGACCAGAACCAGATCCAGTGTTCAGACTGAGACACCTGGATGGATGTAGAACTGATCTGGTGTCAGGTTCTACCAGAACTCAGATGTGTTCTTCCTCCTAAATGTCATGTGTCTATCTGCTGGACTGATGAAGTTCTGAGGCTCAGAAAAGATGGATAAAGTCCATTAAAGTGCTAAATCTGGACCCTCCTCTGTGGACTTCAAGGACCTGGAACTCTGGAATGTTCACAGTCTGAAGGTAGAACTCTGGTCAGTAGATAAAGGTGCTGCAGATACAGAACCAGATGTTCTGGAGGAGGTTCTGGAGGAGCTTTGGTCAGATTTGGCTGCAGATTCTGTTTCCTGATGTAAACTTTGTGACCCGTTAATGTTTTAGTCTCACTGATTAAGTGCAGATCAATGACCTCTGAGTGTTTTTTGTGTTTTCCAGGTGGAGCTGAAGTTTCCAGCTCCCTCCAAAACAGGAAACTACCAGTACTCTGTGATCCTGCGCTCCGACTCCTACCTGGGCCTGGACCAGATCAAACCACTCAAGGTAACTACGGGGCTGTGGACTGTTTTCTTTCTCTGGTTCTGCAGCCAAATGTGCGGAAACGTTCCTGGACTCAAAGGTTCTGTTGGCAGCAGCTGAGGATCTGCCTCAAACCGAGCCAGGACGGTTCTGCTGTCTGCAGACTGACAGAGTTAGAATCAGAGTGATTTAACGTCTCATGTTGGTCATGAACTGACGAATTTCTGACTGAAAATACGAACAAAAAGCAATTTACTGGACATCTGTGGGTCTGGCCTTTATGTTTTATTGTTTTTTTTCCCATTTTTTTAGGCTTTTTGAAACATTTAATTAATCCTAAGGGGTTTAATTCGTGTTTTGTTTTTATATTTGGACATTTTTCTGTCATTTTATTCATTGTTTTGCATTTTTGAGAATTTTATAAATATGTTTTGAAATTTTTAAGATTCCGTTTTCATCCCCATCTATATTTTGAAGACTTTTCTCATCAGATATCATTCACAGCCTGCTTTATACAACATTTTAATTCATAAAAAATAGAGATAATTGACTGTTGACGGACTTTTCTCATTGACAGAGTTATTAAAACAGATATCTAAAGTTCTGTCTGTAAAAACTTTTGACTCTCAACAGGAGGAAACTGGTTTCATCACGTTTCTGGAAATGAATGAGGACATCGTCTACAGGATAATGACTTATTTGCATATTTAGACCCTGAACGCTTTAAACATGTTCATATTTTTTATGGTCATTAATATTTGTAAATTTTTTTATTTTTTATTTTATTAGAACATTTTAAGACATCTTATAAATATCTTAATTAAGTGTATTATCATTTTTGCATTTTGGACATTTTACTCATTCTCTTGCATTTTAATGAATTTTATTAATGTGTTTTTGTTTTTTGTTTTTTTTAACATTTGACTTTTTCTCCAAATATATAAAAATGAAACCAGAATTTCACAAAAAAGCATTTTAAACAAAAACAATACCACATTTACGTGATTAAACTTCATAATACAAACATGAACTGGTTTATTTTTTAGGTTTCCCAGTGA